CCTGCCGTTGAGCATCAGCGGCTAAACTCTTTTCATTTTTCCACTTTTCTTTCCTTGTACCTTCCATCTGTATTCAGTACACAGGTCTTCACACACTAGGACATCTGGGCCAGTAGGACACAACACAGGTACAAGATTCGTGTCGGGTGATACTGAGCTGCTCGCAACAGCGAAACCTCGTGTTAGTGAGTTTGCACTGGACGAGCAGAAAAGCTCAGTTAAATAATGGGAGCGCTTCGGGCCAGCATGTTGGGCCAAACACACGTAGTTGCCCGAAACGGAATGATTTATCCAACAATGCGGCTTGCGATCCTGCTCTACTTTCTCCGGACGTATCTCGTTTCGACAATTGTTACACAAAACTTAAACGAAATTATGTTAAATTTCATGAACACGTCGATAGTCCAATGAATGAAATGTCGAATTTAACGTGATATAACATGCGAGTGGATTTGCTCTACTTCCGACAACCTTGGAACAGGCACCGAAAGGTAATTGATTAGGCGTAATGAAAAATCCGAGAACAAGATGGCAACCAACTGTGGAGCAAAAAGTGATAAGATCTCCGAAATCCGACAGAGATAACAAAAGTGTGTAGATGAAAAATCCAGAGACAGTACTGAAACTGAATTATGTAGTAATTTTCAAGAAATAATTTCAATGCACGGAGAGATCTAACAAAAATAATTTTGTTAACAGCCATGAATTAAGCAACCGGAGGCCGCTAACCGCAATCGGTATGATGAACACCGTATCAAAGTCAGTTCCAACGTTAGAGTGCAGTTGATCCAGTTACTCTAAAGTACAATGGCAAAGAACGGGAGAAAATGAACAATACAAGAGGAAGAAAGAAAAAATCCAAATCAAGAGCAATAGATGAAGAGCTTTTAATCGGATGTAGGAGTTAAGTGGCAAAACGAGAGCAGCGAATGCACGAGTATCACCGAATTCATCAAACATGGTCTCAAACCATAGGCGCGATCGATCGCCCGACACACAGGATTATGAGCGCGCCATTCAGTAGGCTTCGCTACACGCGTTCGCCGAATCGTTGAATGGCCACAACGGTGTTACATCTAACTGGGTGCAAAGGTGGCAAAAGACGCACGTGGTCAGTGGTCATGTGACGAACATGACTACTCCGCAGGAAATCAACAGTTCGGCAATACCATCAACTGACCACCTCGCGGATTTGCTAGTCTGTGTGTGCAGTATACTCTTAAAGGACGCATGTAGAGGTGGCCTGTCAGCGCAAACGCAAAGAAAACGGGTCCAGTATGTAGATTTTTAGTGATGTCGAAAAGTCGTACCCACAAAGGGACGGATCCGTTTGTAAACACCAAATATGGTGTCTTGCTTGGCACTGCACCCGTAGTAGGGTTCCAATCAGAATTGAACAGAGCTTCAGAGGCGATGGACAAATGGTCTCGTAGTATCAACGTCGGTTTTGTTTCCCGTATGGCCGCTGGAAAAACAGTCCAACACAGCAAACTTTGTGTTGACTAACAATTATTCCCTTTGAGTTCTGTAAGAGTAAAGTGGGTATCCTGTAGCAGTCTACCATCAGGTAAAAGTCAACACCACTGAAAGAAATACTTGGCTAAGCATGTGTGTAACAGTCCGTTGGTCTACGCTGTTAAATAGGCGTGGGAATCTTCTCCGAATAGGTAGTTCAAGAGAGACGGAAAAGATAGCCAACGTAAAACTAACAGCCCATTCAATGCGCTGAGAAACAGTGCGGCGCCAAAAAGGGCTAATGGAATATTTGTATGTGCAATTTCATCTGAAATAACGAGCGAGGTGCCTATGGTCAAAATATTCACTCTATTTGTGGAAAACAACGCTAATTTTTTGTAACAGAACTGTAATGTAAAGAGTTTAAGTTAAAATTGATCGAAACGCCCATCCGGTAATTGTCTATGCGATCGAGAACGTTTTACTCCACAGCAATGGGGGACACGTCCGGCTCGAGACTCCGACTGCCGGTCGTGTTAGTAACTAATTAATACCGGTTATATAAAGCTTCGTAAGACTCTGAACAATTCATTTGTTTTTTGATTATAGTGGATTACGCACCTGTGACAATGAACAACTTTAGATAGGAGATGCTGCACTTTTTGAACAGGGACTGTCTAGCTTGAGGCAAGCGATAGCCTGTCAGTAAGATTGGCACTTTCTCACCGTCAGTGGCAACCCGTGCTCAACGTAAATCCAGCCAAGCCTATGACTTGTAGGTTACTGTTCTCCGGTAAGAAGGACGAGAAAGCCTAGTGTGCCTGAGCTAAGATCTGTAACACGTCTAGTGTGGGCGAATCTAAAGGCACACAGAAGGTGACACAAAATGACGCGTAACTGATGGTCATTGTGATGGCAATGACCGAGGTTCCACAGACGACGCGAGCTGACCATGATGTTACGGGTGGGGGTGGACAAGGCAGAGTCTGCTAAGTTTAGAGTGGATGAGATGCCGAATGAAGACAAAAACGGGAAAATGGATTAGTTCCAATCGCAGCCATACAACAGCGTGTGTGATCTGACGAACGTAAACTGCCAACACGGGATGCAACGGCGACCGACCAAGCGATGCGACGCGTAACTAGTGAGCAGAAAGCCATTCGGGTGTCACACGGAGAACTGGCGGTAATCGCACCGGCAATATGACAAGCGGGGATTTTGGTCTGACCAAGTTAAACGTTTTGGTGGCTGGATACGGAGTGGGCTGGTCCGAGCACAGAGGATGAACAGGGCGCGTGCGGACCAATGAACAACGACAGACTGCGTAGGACGCGACAATGAGAAATGACCGATCAGGAGCAGCCGTAATAGCGCTTCCGATTTTTATACAGGTTCCACGCTTCAATAGTAAAATTCCGATCAATGCTCGAATATTGTTTGGAATACCGGACGGCTATTCGACAGCTCAGTATGCAAATCATCGAACTAGCTTAATGCTTACTCTTGCCTTCCTTGTGCAGGTTAATGTCATCCCTCCACCACAGCTCCAGTTTATTTTTGAGAATCGTGCAAAAGCAACGGAACTGTCATGCCTTTATGACGTATCCAAAGGTGGATACATGCTCTGAAATCTTCAAGCACCAAGGACGATGGATACGTCAATTCCATTTTTCCAACAGGTGCACGTGATTTCAAGTTCGACGGTACAACTACTCGGTTTGCAAAAATACACGGTTACCAGTCGTTGCTTACTAATATTCGGAACAATTGTGTGAACGGGAAGCACCAAACACATATCCGCTTCCATTGTGGTCCCAGTGAATAAACTGACTAAAGTTCCCTTCAATGCGAATCGTGGTCCACACTGAGACTGCGCATAGCAACCCAGTTACACAACGAGTGTTTCAAAATGACCCCTTCAGCCTACCAGCAACCGTAGTGATAAGCTTTGCCTGTCTTGACTCGGTGGGTTATGGGTAGAGGTTTAAGCCAACATCTAAATGATCCAAGGTTCCATGCCTGCTATCTCAACTTGTAGAGACCAGTTAAGTTCGAAACCGATTGCGGAGTGCTGTGGTTTTGGGCGAGCAATACCCAGTGACTAGACTGACTAACTGTCACTTCATTGTGAATTGTGGTCCACATTTAGAATGCTAGTCGTAATAAATTCACAAGAGTGCCTCACAAAATGACCCTTCAAATTGCAACATTCCTTTAGTCCGGTGTTCCAAGCTCTTCCGTGTCCAAATAGTGCGGCGGGTCGAAACAGGCACTTAGAGATGAATATAACTTGTGAATATAACTTGTAGACGGCTGGATGCTCATATCACAACCGCCTAGTAAGAGGCAGCTAAGGAAGCACGGAAGTGGGAAGGGAAAGTGGCAGAAAGAAATAAGAAGGCGAAGAGAAAGCAGCGAATCGGCTATACTACCATCACCACCATCATCGTCATCATTAATACATGCTAGCCGAGGGTGAGAAACACTACCACAGCTAATGTGCGGCAATACACAAAGGATAAGAGGTTAGACATTATAAGACTAAAAAAGCTTAAAAAAGTAACAATGCTAAAATCACATTATGCATTGAATTACGAACGTATTTGGAAGGGGAATATAAAGGGGACGGGGGGGGGACAAAGTGACTCCCAACACAAACGCTATTGACGTCGGCTCCTCGCCATGTCAGCTAGTGCATCGACCAAAAATGACTGGCTATACCAACGAAACAGATAATAGTTTAAAACTATGTAAAGGGAACAGCGACTACAAAGCAGCGGAAAAGAAAAGTACAAGAACTCCAGAGTGAACTCAAGTACTGACGATCTGCTTGGAGACATGGTTCTGCTGAGCGCCCTAGAAGATGTGGAGATCTTAACCAGAGCATTCGGGTTGTTTGAAAGAGGCTAAGAAGCCACAATGCAAAGTGTTAGTGCATAAGTCTAAAAAAAACTAGTAATTGTAATAAACTAACTGGATTGGTGACGGTTCCAGTGACAGTATTGCCAGACGCTGACTTCAAAGTCAACCGAGGCCCCGACTAAGATTTCGTGTCGTAATCCAAGACACACGGCGGGTTCTCTAAAACCCGAAAATAAACGAATTGATTTTTTCGATCAGTCGCATCCAGCGCAACGACATTAAAGTTCAATGGGTAAATCTATTTAATTTTCTTTAGGAGAAACGGCCGATGTAAAAGCGCTACGGGTCATTCAAACATTTTTCACGTTAACAAAGACGTCCACTGACCACAATGACGATATTGGTTATGTATTAGCCGTAGGCCGAATTACCGTACCGACGGTTGGCTATCACGCGACCACCACCAGTCGCAAGTGGGCTGAGTGCATCGCGAGGTCACCAGCACTTAAGTGAGTTCAAGTCTGTAGCCTTTGGATTACAAAGCAGGCGCCTTATCCTTTCGGCCGAGATCACAAGTGCGTTAACTCAGATGACGAAGAGAAGCATGCGTTAGCGGTATAGCGAGACACTAATCACGCGATAACTAAGTTTGCATATCATTAAGCTCAGGTGTATAAACTTACCAGAGGACCTGTGTCACACAATCGAATGATCTGGCTCAAGTTGTCGGTCACAGTGATGCCCAAACTCCGGCCAAGGTTCCATGGTTTGAGAATCCACAGGTTGCGTTCAGACGCCAAGGTTGAAGAGGAGAGAGTGGTATGATCACCTGAAGGGCCGGCTTGTAATCGAGGACAGCCTGATGAACATGAAATCGGTGGTGCATCGGAAACTGACTGTTCGATAAGTGCCTAAAATGCAGGCGTGGAAAAAGTGATCAAAAATTTACCGCCACTATAAATTGGGATTTGAAGTCCCTTGAAATAATGGTGCTAAAAGTTGGACAAACACCCAACTCCACAGCGATTGAGTGGATGCATGCGAGATGGAGAAACAGCTGCAGGCATCTAGTCACAGCGAAGGAACAGATGCCATAGCGAGTTGGCGCTTAAAAGAGCGCGACACAAACTCAAAAGCAACGCGATGAAGACACAGGAACCACCTATAGGATTGCTGACTGTCTTATGTTGACCATAAAACAGGCATCCAATATAGGATGTTGATCATTCCAAAGTTCAATAATTTTCGAGGCTAACGAAGGCGTTCAAGTGAAAACAACTACATGCACGCAATACTTCAGGTTTTACCCGAAAGCGCAACCAAATAAAATTCTTCAAGAATTTCTCCTCTACTCTAACCTGGCCATAATGTATACCCAGACTGAAGCGAGGGGAGCTACAACAGGTAGACCGCCTCCATAGTTGGTTGGACCTCTGAAAAGCCAAACGGGCCTTGCAGACACGCAAAGTAACCCTCTCAGTGATGTGACCACTAGAGGTGACACAGTTAGCAAAATAAGTGGACCGATCCGCCACTTCTTGTGATTGTTCGATGTCTGGTCAGTCCATTCCCGTAACGATAGTTTGCACCTTGAAGGTACAAAATACCTGCTGAAGCATACAGCCCGACCCATCAGTCAGTTCAGTAGCGTTTGTACAGCCAGTAGGTCAGACACAAGAAGAGCTATGTTGCCCGCATACCCAAGACTTGAAGGTCGGACATCAGAGAGAACCGCCAATCCGGAAGAGCCGTCACCTATGAGTATTTCGATTATTTCGATCGAAGAAAGGAAATTGCAAGGTGACACTATGCGAAATCACTTTGTGGGTAAACGTGTTGGTTATGTGAAAATGGTCTAAAACATCACACACACATATACTACATGTTAGCAAAAGGTGAGAAACATCTCATCTATTGTGCCGCAATAAGAAAGATAAGTGAAAAGGCAAGATATTGATCATCACAGAATACAAAATAAAATAACCTTCAGCCACCTGTCCAAGGCGACCACCTTTTGTCGGTCCAATGAGTGGTCGCCTTAGACTGTATTGTGATCGGTAATGAGATATTGTTTGGAGGGGGAAGCTAAAAGGGATGAGGAAGGACAGAAACTCAAGGCACAAACATTACTGAGGTCAGCTCTTCGCCATGTCTGCATGTGTAACCAAATAAACATGTTCGTTATCCTCGGGATCCCGACCTTGAAGTCCGGAGACACCAACCGACGTCAAATTCGAAGTGAGAGACTTTATTTCTCTTGACTAAATCATCGGTTGGCCTCCCCGCCCCTATTGTTCTATTCGAACCCCGGTCTCGCAAACAAAGCACGTCGCGGGCGTCGGTGTGCGCAACACGTGACCCAGTAGTCAAAGCCTGGTGCGTGAAATAACAGTGCTAAGCAATTTACCAGCTCTTTCCGTTCAAAACATCTAAAAAGACCGATCCCCAATGAAACTGCGACAAATCCCCACTCAGATACATGCTCCGGGATGGTGTTCTGATTAAAGTGATGCAATGATAGGCGTTAAATTTAGCCACAATTCGGGATAGTTATCGATATAACTTGTTTCCGTGGACTGAAAGCACGCCGTTAGTTGGATGCACGGACAAGAGAAGAAGGCACCGCAAGCAGGTACGATACTTAGTACGCGGTGGGTCACTCATTAAGGTGCATTCTAACAAGCTAACTTCTGCAACGGCAGCCGGTATTATAGCAAGATAAAATCGCCCTTCTATAGCTCTAACCATTAATAGTTGTCTCAAGGGATTGACCATAAAGTTAGTAAAGAACCGGACAAAGTACAGAAAGTACAGCCGTGACAGATATGCGCTAGATTGTGACGTTGTTAAGTCGCATAGTTTGATAAAACTGTGTCTGAGTGAATCACAAATGGGCTAACACAAAGGGGTCTAGGAGGCTGACAAAAAACCAGTGAGCGACATACACGCTCCGTCATTGTCGGAGATATCTCGCAAAGCCCATGTTCTCAATTCTTATAGATTGACGGTCATAATTGGTAAATGTATGAGGTGAATACAACTTTCAAGCGTCAAAGTACTAAGAAAAATGAAAGTACAATATTTTTCTCAAAACCACACAAACAGTTAGCTTTGTATTGCCTTAATGTTTAAACATGTGAATTTAACACCAACTGCTTCACGTATGCCAAAGCTAGTGTATATCCAAAAAAGAGGAAGGGCTTCCATGCTATTCACTTCGGCAATGACACCCCATTATGTATATATATATATATATGTTTCGCTGTTGTTTGATATCCCCGATGTGGCTGCGCTTGATGTGCATGTTGACAAGGTGCCTACCTGTCTATTACCCACTACCTCGTCCATACTGGCTCCAGGAGACAGTTGATCGTTGCTGGAGGGGACGGGGTGCACGGTCCTTGTGGCCGTGCTAGGATCAAAGAGTGGTTCCATGCAGTCAGTGTGGAGCGGACTACGGTCAAGCCATTGCTTTGTGCGATTGATTCTCAAATATGGCGTGCTTGTGTTTGCCTGTGAAGGAGTGTGGGTCGGCTCCATTGAGGAAACCTGGCTCTCATCCACATGCCACCCGATCTTATTGCTTCGGGTTTACGCTGTGTATGGGTGTGTGTAGATGGGGTTGTGTATGGTGCAGTGCAAGCCGGCTCCGTTGATGAAACGTGGTTCCCATCCGCATGCCTCCCGGTCTTATTCCTTCGGATTTACACTGGATATGGGGTGTGTGGTTGGAGCTGTGGGTGGTGCAGCGCAAGCTATCCATGGTCCCTCTGTAGGCGCAGGCTCCCTGTGGCTTGCCACAGTGAAAGGCAAATCCGAAACCGGATGC